GCTTCGACACTCATTCATCTCAACGTTGCAATCATGAACGCAAAGGTGATGACTTCCTCAGTCTTTGGTCTGACACACGAGTTGCTAAAGCAGTCGTCAAAGGAGCGAGTGAAAGATTCTTCTCTATAGGATTTTTAAAGACAATCTGACTCCCCGCAGGTCGTCCTCGTCGCCTGCCTGGCCTCCGTCGCCGCTGCCCGCCCTGACACTCCCCGCGACGGCTACAGCTACGAGGCCCCTGCGCCCAAGTACTCCGCTCCTCATGCATCATACGAGGTAAGTCGGGTCGGGGGTTCCTCGGCCCACTCAAGGCTCTCAGGATGAGATTACCAAGTGAAAACTTGCCTCTGACGAAGGCAAAGAATGACACTCAACAGCGGCGTCTCGCCATTGCAGAAAGGAATGCCCTTTGACTTTGCGTACGGAGTAGTGGACCACTACAGCGGCAACGACTACTCCCACAACTCCAACTCTGACGGCAACGTTGTCAAGGGCGAATACCGCGTCCTTCTTCCCGACGGCCGCACGCAGATCGTCTCGTACACGGCCGATCACGTCAACGGCTACGTGGCCGAGGTCACCTACGAGGGCGAGGCGCACTACCCCGAGACCAAGCCTTACCAGCCAGCCCCTGCCTACTCCGCCCCTGCCCCCGCTTACTCTCCCCCTGCCCCCGCTTACTCCGCCCCTGCCCCTGCATACGAGGCCCCAGAACAGACCTATGGTACCCCTTCCCCGGTCTACGGAACACCTCATTAACTCCTGAGTAGAAGCTGAAAGAATGATGTCAGCATAATTATTTATTTTGTAACACGAATAAATCTAGAAGCAACAACGTATATCATTCCCATCTCGTTAAGAGCTTCTTATGAATATACTTAATCCCTTCATTATCACTTATTACTATTTTAATCCACAAGAAAGCAAGCAAAATATGAAGTAAAAAGGTGAAGAGACGGAGGAGGGGGAGGGGGGAGAGAAGGTGCAGTGTTGAAAATGAAGAAAATTCAAGAATGGTAGTAGGGGGGCGACGTCCATTGTATGTCGTCCTACTCCGCCCCCTCCCCCCGCCTCTGTATACGAAGCCCCCCCTGTGCACTCCCCTGTTTACGAAACCCCCACTATCTACCCCATCCATTTAGTTTTGGAATTATTAGTTTTGGAAAATTATCTCTGTCGTAACATATTTATTTCACAGACTTAATAAATATTGAAGCATATGTGAAACGCCTTTTCCTTCCACTTCAAAGGGATATGTAGGAGGTTGGCTTATATTTCCCAAAAATACAATGTTATACGACCAGTTTATTAAAATTGCTCGAGGCCCGGCCTAATGAATATTCATATATACAGGCATGCATATACACAGAAATAAATCCCTTTTTCTCATAGATATACATCTATCTTTCCGGTAGATATGCAGATCTCGACTGATATATAAGTAATTGTTTCTGTGTATCTGCATGCATGTATAGTGAATATAATGTCGGGCCTCACACAAAGTTAGCAAACCGTCTGATAATCTAAACACAATATTTATAATTTTTTATACTACAAAGTCACACGTTTCGAAGCACTATAAAGAACGAATATTTATTGATAAGAGATTAGCTAATATTGCGTAAAATATTATCAACTCAAAAGTATAGCTTAACAAAATTTACTTCAATAGTCTTTGAAATATGCAATTGACAATATAAAGTGTTGCAAAAAACAGAATATCCAAACAGTAGCATTAAATGAAATAACCAGTACAAGCTAATATGTAAATTAAGGGCATTTACTCTACTCTAAGACTAGTAGGATCTTTGTACATAATATACATCTACACACACACACACATATATATATGTGGGTGTGTGGGTGTGTATTCATCTCTCTCTCACTCTTTCTCTCTATATATACATATATC